CTTGTTCTTCCATTCCCTTCCCCCTCTTGTTTTTTGCCCCCTCCCCAACACCCAAATTATCCTGTGTATATTCCCTACCCTATGCTCCACCTTCCCCTCCCTCCCAACACCACCACCCCACATCCTGGTAACCAGCAATGAATGCCTCTCTCCCCATTTAGTATGGGTTCTTTTTCTTAGTCTTTTACAGTAGTGGCCCTATGCAGTATTTGTCCTTTTGCGACTGACTGATTTCACTAAACATAATGTCCTCAAGGTTCATCTATGTTATGTGGTAACTTACAGCTTCCTTGTTGTTCTTTAAGATAGCATAATATTCCATTGTGTGTATGTACCACAGTTTGTTTATCCATTCTTCCACTGATCGACACTTAGCCTGTCTCCATCTTTTTGCTATTGTAAATAGTTTGCGTATATCTACTCATGTTATGGCTTGTATTTTTTGTTGGTGAATACCAAGTGGAGGAATTGCTAGATCATAAGGTATTTGTATTTCCAACCTTCTGAGGAAGCACCATATTGCTTCCCAGAGAGGTTGTACCATCTTGTAATCCCGCCAGCAATGCAGGAACGTCCCAGTCTCTCCACATCCTCGCCAGCATTTATTGTCCTCTACTTTTTTGGTCTTTGCTGTTATTGCTGGTGTGAGATGATACGTCATTGTTGTTTTTATTTGCATCTCTCTAATGGCTAGATCAAGAGCCAGTGATACAACGAGGAGTTCCATGGTGCATTGAAGGAATTGTCAAAGAACAAGGCACCAGGAATTGATGGAATAAAAATTGAAATCTTTCAAGAAAGTCAAGTGGCATAGGAGGCACCCACTCATCTATGCCAAGAAATTTGGAAGACAGCTGTCTGGCTGATTGATTGGAAGAGATCCGTGTTTGTGCCCATTCCAAAGAGAGGTGACCAACGGAATGCGGAAGTCATCGGACAATCTCTTTGATATTCCATGCGATTCACATTTTACTAAAAGTAATACAGAAACAACTGCAAGCATACATTGACAGAGAACTTCCAGAGGTTCAAGTCGGATTCAGAAGAGGCCGTGGAACGAGGAAAATCATTGCTGATGTCCGATGGATCTTGGCTGAATGCAGAGACTA